GGCCCTCATCCTTGAGTACATGGGCAGATCACACTGGGCTCAGTGATTCAGGGTTAGGCAGAGACAGGCAGATTTCTGTGAGTTCAAGGCTAGCCGGGTCTATGTAGTGAGTTCCAGCTACATAGTGAGACTCTGTCTCAAAAAGTAGAGAAGGGGCCATAAAGTTGGGAGAAAGGCTAGGAGGTGGGATGAATGTAATCCAAATACATTACATACATGTATGAAATTCTCAAAGAAGTAATTGCAATATTGCGCTTCTTTAAAAAAAAAAAGCCCTCTGAGACATTCAGAAACCCACTTCCTACCTGGACTATACCACTAACTTCCTGTGCTAAACTGGATGAGTTACTTCCCCTCCGCAGAGGGGATTCAACACAGAGCCTCACATGTGCCAGCCAAGTGCTCTAGCTCATGTTTCGTTTTGATGGCTTCATACAGAGCTGTACTGTGTTGCCCAGGATGAACTCAATTTCTGCCTCAGCTTCCCAAGAGCTGGAAATCCAGGCACAAAGCACCACACTGGGATTGGGTGGTAGACTTGCTAGCCTAGATCTATATCACCACGCTCAACCACTGGCCCTGTTTTTGTTCTGAATTGGACAGCTTCTTCTAAAGGTGCAATGCAATCTCATCCACACCTTGGGTCCCAGTGATGTAGGGGCTGAGTTATTCACCACATTTTCTTAATCATAAAACTGAGGCTTGGTGTAGACATGCCTGGGATGCAGGCTATCGCAAACTGAAACTTGATTTTTCTTGGCTGATTTTTAAAAAGCAATTTTTTTTCAGAGCTGAGGACTGAACCTATGGCCTTACTTTCTAGTCATGTGCTCTGTCTCTGAGCTAAATCCCCAACCTCTTTAAATCATGTTTTAAAGACTTCTTTATTTTATGTTTGTGGGTGTTGTGCCTGCATGTATGGATGTGTACCATAGCATGCATGGTGCCCACAGATGCAGAAGAGGGCCCTTGTGAGCATGAGAAGAAGGTGTCAGGTACCACCACCCAGAACTGGAGTTACTCTGTGTGGATGCTGGGAACCCAGGTCTCTCCAACAGCAGCAAGTGCTCTTACCTGCTGCGCCATCTCTCCAGGCCCTGTTTGGTTGGTTGGTTGGTTTGGTTTTAAGACAGTCTCATGTAGCCCAGGGTGGCCTTACTCTGTACCTGAGGCTGGCCATGAACTCTTGATATTCCTTTCTCTTCTTCCCAAATGCTGAGGTACAGGCACATGTCACCACATCCAGCAGTAAACTGCAATGTGAAGAGGCTAAATTCTTGTCCAAAGTCACATATTTGGTATTGGAACATAAGTTTTGTGGGGCTTGCTCTGGCTTTGTTGCAGATTTGCAGAAGCATGTTGCCACTGGGCTGCAAATCCATCACTGTTTGGAAGCCTTGCTGACTGGGTAATCTCTGAAGGACCAACTGTAATGTGCAAAGGTCCATGGCCTATAACTAAGCAGATAGTTCCCACCACTAAAAAAAACTGAGAAGGATGGGGTGTGAACCCAGATGTGGATCACTTGCTCAGTTTGTCTATGTGTGAAGCTTGAGTTTAACCCTCAACAAAGACACACACACACACACA